TGGGTGTCCAATAGCGATGTTCAATGTACATCCAAGTCCCGTTGATAAAGAGCTGAACTTGCCCGCTATAGAGGTCTGTGGATTCCACCAGGCGTATGCCATTGTGACCTGCAACATCAATACCATAATTATCATAATTATCAGGCCGCACCGAAAAAATCCTCTGTTTCGGGTAACCTGACCGACGGATGTTTTGAGCGCCGAAGGATTCCTTTTTTTGTGCATTCATGCATATGCGCTTCATACGCATGTACGTGTACATCTTCGCACTTCGCGCTGTGCCGGGTCCGATGCCAAGGCTCTTCCTTCCTGCTCCTCACTCTGGCTGGCTAGACATTCCAGTCCTTTGTTTCGAGTTGACTCGATCCAGTCGGATTTGTTCCAGGGTGGGTCTGTTTGCCAAGCGTAACATTCTCGACACTGAAATGTTTTAATTTAGAAACTCTACTGGAAAAACGTTTCCGTCGCTGTAGTTGACGGCGGGTGGGCCGTCGTCAACAGCTGCATTTTCGAGTCACGCCCCCTGAGCAATTTGTTGGAAACTCTTTATCCAGAAGGTGTCACTCGCTTCAAAGCAATGTTTGCTTCGGAAACCAGGTTAAGTCGCAACGGTGCTGACAAGAGTGAAATTGTTGGACTTCATTTGGGGTTCAGACGCCGATTCCTTTTCTTTACGTTGGATCAACAGGAACAGTGGCTAGACCAGATGGCGAAAAAGCAGAATCTATTAATAATTGTTTCATTTCGGAGAGTCAGACGTCCGTCTCCAGGTCAACTGAAGCCGTGCCAGAGATAGGCGTGCCGCGCATCATCGGAAGCAAACTGAAGGAAATCATCATCACACAGGAGAAGGTCAGAGAACTTCTTCTGCTCTTGATTTCCGGAAATTGCCGGGGTACAAACGCATGCCGACGGAATTGCTCAGGATCACTGCAGACAAAAAATCATGGTCCCTCGCAACGCTTTTCAATGAGTCCTTCTCGCGAGGTGAGCAGCCGCAGGACTGGCGCAATGCCACTATGAGTCCTAGGCACAATAAAGTCTCTTGTGCAGAGATCACCAATTACAGGTCAATCTCGCTCCTGAGTGTTGTCAGCAAGGTTCAGGAGAGGGTTTTCCACCACCGCCTCTACATTCACATTGAGCCCCACCTCCCCGCCGGCCAATCTGAATTTGGATCTAAGGACAGCACTGAACTTCGGCTCTCCCGGATAGTTCAGGAGATCTCCGCCAGCCAGTCAGGCAGCGCCAGCTTGCTTTTTTTGATTTATCAAAGGCTTTTGGCCGAGTTTGGCACGCTGGCCTCCTGGCCAAACTCGAGCACCTTGGTGTCCATAGCATTGCCCTTACCTGGCTCACAAGCTACCTGACTCCCCACCGACAACACGTCAAGGTTGGCTCCGCTATGTCATCACGGAAATCCATTCCAGCAGGAGTACCCCAGGGCTCTTCTCTCCTGGGGCCTCTTCTTTTCCTGGTGTACACGATCGACCTCCCCCCAGCATGTACAAACTCATACACCAAAAAATTCAGCCAGTTTGCCGATGACACGGCACTCATCGCGACTACACAAGGGATTTATCAGCTGCATTCCTCCAACGTGCCCTGGACGATGGGTGAAGGATTGACAGCTCCTCGTCAACACGACGAAAACTGTCGTCCTTTCTTTCCAACGCCAACACGTCATCCACATCACACTCCACTTGACTCTGCTGCAGCAGGTTCACCAACATAAGTACCTTGCCGTTGCACTCCAAGACGATATTCGATGGACCCAACACATCATAGAAACTACCAACAAAGCCAAAACACTACTACACCAACTCCACAAGACACGTGGCACAATGAACACTTTCAGCCTCTTATTAATATACACGGCATACATCCGACCCGTTCTCTATTATGGCAGCCTTGCCCTCTCCAACACCACACAGCAACAGCGAGACACACTGGAGAGAATTCAGCGCCGTGCTATACGCATCTGCCTTCGGATTCCCTTCTTTGCACCAGTTCACCACAGTTCCCTCCTCCACCATGCGAAGCTTCCCACACTCACTCCCTATCGACATTACAACCCAACATCGTAGACATTATTTCTTTGTTGCCATCTTCAATAGGTCCGTCAAATAGTAGTAATAGGTTTTTCATTTGACCCGACGAGACCACACGACGCTTGCAGACCACAGCACGAACAGTTCACCAGCCACACTCCACGAAAGCAAGTAGTATTGCTCCTGACAAGTCTTGTTTCGTTCCATGAAGTTGACGGGGAACTCATCAGAGGAGAATCAGTTGTTGAATGAAGGGGTTAAGCTGAATAATGCTATTTTATAGAGAAGATACCGGCGCAAGGTGTAAACACTCAACTAACTCACATATGTGACAAATCAACACAAAAGGAATAGTGCAGAATGGAGGTGTTATGAACCCTACCAAACACAACAATCACAAGTGCTAAATCAATCCCCGTCAACTTGTGACTTTATGGAATGAAACAAGACTTGTCAGGAGTAATACTACTTGCTTTCGTGGAGTGTGGCTGGTGAACTGTTCGTGCTGTGGTCTGCAAGCATCGTGTGGTCTCGTCGGGTCAAATGAAAAACCTATTACTATCGTAGAAATTCTTTCCGAAACAATGCATCCATTCTTCTTTTGAGCAGTACTTGCTCCTGCTCCGCGCATCCCCTGGTTCCTGATATCTCGAATGTGTACTTTAAATTATCTCGATTACCCCTGCTATTGACCCCGCTTGTTTTTCATAATCCATTGCTTCTAGCCTCCCGGGGTAATTTTCATCTAGCTGTTTATGGCTAGTATCCGTTCTATCACACTTATCAATCTTCCTTATTGGCGTCACGCCATCGTGGAATAAAAGAATAATAAAAGGAATAAGAAGGAAGCTGTATTGTATTTTGTATTGTATTGGTTTTATTTTACATGGCAAGTCAAACGGGCAATCATGCCCAATGTTATGATGACGATGGAAAGGGAGAAAAGATTAGGAACAAGATTATTTTATCCTGGATTATGGGGAGTGAAGAAAACGGTGAGTCTAGGAATCTCTCCTTAGATCATCAACATTGGTCATGAAAGTCGACTTTCAATGGACGTGAGAGTTGAGATGTGCTAAGTCAGGCCAACTAGAGGGGAATGCTAGGCTGTGAGATTCCTAAGTACATCTATTCTGTGTTTGTTTTATGAATGCATTGAAAATCCAAGGACAATCATCCCCAAACGGATAAAATCTAAGATAACCTGGATAGGTGGAGTAAAGAAAACAGTGAGTATGGAGAACTCTCGGGATAGGAAACATCCTAGCATTAGCCATGAAAGTAAACTTTCAATAAACTCTTGAATCGGCATGTGGTAGGGCATGACTTTAAGGACGAGGGCAAAAGATTCCACAACTTAGCAGCAGCAAAAAATGGTCTGTGAGATCCCGAAGTACTGAGGATGTTGGGAAGGGGCAGATTACAGGCATCCTGACCTCTGGTGGCACGGGGCAGTGAACTGTATTCCAGGCGTGATTTGAGCAGCAAACTGACATTGCCGTGAAGAACGCGGTGTACGAGAAGCCGCAACTTGCAATCCGCCCGCTCGACAGCCGGACAAATGCCGAGTTGGGCATACAGCTGTATAGTGTGGGCACGCGAGGGCTGGGTTGTGATACAGCGGATGCAGCGCTTATCCAGTCTGATGAGGGTCTGTTTGAGGCTTGCTGAGAGGCTGGCGAAGTAGGCGCTCGAGGCGTAGAGTAGGTCAGGTAGGATAAGAGCTGTGTAGTAAAGGAGGGACTGCGCACGGGTGATGTCTGCTCTGATGTGGCGCAAGACTCGGAGTTTGTAGGACACCTTCTTCACTACAGCAGCCACTTGACCTGCCCAGCTCAAGCGCTCGTCCAGACAAGTACCAAGGTATTTGGCTGTGCTGGTTTAAGCCAGAGGAGTGCCACGACATGTAACTTCAAGCTCTAGTCTGTTCCGCCTTCCGGCGGAGATGCCCAGAACCTGGGTTTCCTGCGCGTTGAGGATTAACCCCTTGTCCGCCAGAAATGTTGCAACTCCGGACACTGCAATGGAGAGGACACGGTTGATGGTAGCTACATCAGAACTGCTGGTGTAGATCATGATATAGTCAGCAAACATCAGAACCAGCGCTGGTGACGCACAGTGCACTACGCTCCTTGTCTAAAGAGAGAATAGTACAGGTCCCAAGACACTGTCCTGTGGAACGCCGCACGTGCCGCTAGTCGTATCAGAGACTTCCCCTTCGGCTAAGGCTACTCTCTGGTGTCTGCCACTGAGGTAGTCCACGAACAAATCGAGGGCAACTGAGCCGATACCAATATCATGGAGCTCCTTCACCATCGCTTGGTGGTTAACCTTGTCAAAGGCCTTGCTCATGTCCACTAAGACAAGGCCACAGTGCTGGCTGTGGTCTGTGGCAGTGAGAAAGCTATCGACGGCAACGGTGAAGGCGTCCTCCGTCGAGTGGTGAGGACGGAAGGCGAACTGGTTGTCGGTAGTTCCTGGGCCGCGACGATAGCGGAATGATGTGTTGATGCGCGATGTCTCGGAGCTCTGCTCTGCTTGGTGTCTGTGTATGACCAGTTAGACTGTTCCTGGCGGTCTGATGGAGCTGTTGATTGCTATGTAGGCTACAGTATGCCTGATGTATCGACCAGACATGTTCTATCCTGCCCGGCCGGGTACTGAAATGTGCATACAGGTCTGGCATTATTATTTATTATTACTTGCATGTACGCGTTGGAGTCAACCATGCAAGCATGATCCACAACTTCACTTATGCTGAACATGATAAACAGGACTATGACGGGGGAAAGAAATTGAGCTAGAACGATGAAAATATAATGATATAAATTATCATATACAATGTAGCTCATGGATATTGAAGATATGTCATTTATGAATATGTCTATATGTCATTGAATATTGCAGCTTGAGTGATAATAATGGTGCTATTTCCTGAGTTTGACTGTTTCAGGATCTGTCGGAATATCACGATGCACAGATCTTCATACATAGATCTCGCCATGCGGGTCGGTCATGGTCTGGCATGCATAAACAAATTCAGTAAAAGAAAAAGAAAGCCGGTCGACTGACTGTCATATTAATTTTTTGCCCATGTTACTTGAAACAAAGTGCAACAACTAGGCACAAAACAGACAGAGTACTGAGACATTAGACGACCTGACACCTAGCTCCGACACATCTCCGAAGCGCTAACCAACAGCATTCCAACTCGGAAGGTTCTGTGCTAAGGTAGACCGAAGAGGGCAAAGTATGCGCAACGAAAGTGAGTACTTAGAAGCTAAAGTCTCACGGGAACAAAGAATGTCGACTGTTACTGGACGATGATGAGACCAATAAGATACTTTACAAAGCGATCTAACTACAATTCGAAGCAGCAAAGCAGCTCACCACCCAACTTGGGTGGCTCAGAAATATCAAAGATAAATAAAGAATCTCCTCCTATCAACCCTCTTCTCTCTCTCTCTATCTATCTATCTATCTCTCTATCTCACTCTCTCCTTCTCTCTCTCGTGCTCTCTCCCTCATATCTCATCACTCAAGCGAAAAAAGGAAACCCCCTCGACAGGCGAACAGCCTTTGGGGAATGTAAATAGATACAAATACAAAATATTCTCTCAGAGTCTCTCGCGCTTTTATTCTCTGCCTGTCTGTCTGTCTGTCTCTCTCTCTCTTCCTCTTTCTCTTTCTCCCTCTCTTTGCTCTGTCTCTATCTCCGTCTCCCTCCCTCTCTGTCTCTCTCTCTTTCTTTCTCCCTCTCTCTTTAACTCTCGCTCTCTCTAGTATCTATCCCTATTGCCGTTTTTGCATATATCGTGCATATGGTTTTTTCAAATAAAATATAATATCTGACCACAGGCAATATTGCACATAATAACATTCCTATACATCCAAACACATCATCAATCCATGATTTCGATATGCAAGTGCTTTCACACCTTACCTGAGCATGAATCCGACGCTCGTAGTGATCGTGAAGCGCACAGCAACAGGCAAACCAAATACATGCAGTAACCAATCGCCATTACCCGGTGGAAACACGGCTTCCCATGCAACTACTAACAACAAATATAATGCTGTTCCGCAGCTGGAATCAAATGCATCCTTCTTGAAGTCTTGCTTTGAAAGAGGTGGGATTGAAAATCGATCCAACCATTTCTAGCCACACGAGGTACGTTGTCGCTCAATCAGGTCTGGCAACAAAGCCTTCTGCAAAGGAGAATTTAGACAAGTGATGTTATTATGTAAGTGCTATTGGACTACCAGCCTTACGAAGAACAGGCCTCGATCGTGCACGCGAAAAGAGTCGCTATTGGCGAGTTGTTACTATTCGTGAGGTTGAAGGTAAGCAGTCAAATGTTCACTAGATCTGAAGACCGTGTCGTTATTCGCGAGTTGTTGTTGGACCCGAGGTCGTTATTATGTGGTGTATCTGTTAGCAGGGCTAACGTGTACATGTGTGATAGCGGTACAGAATACTAGCAGTCCAGGGCGGTGCGATTACAATAGAATAGGGCTGCAGTGTCAAGGCCTTCCGCGATGAATTTGCATATCGGTGAAAGCTTTTGTGCAAACCAGCTGCGAATATATTTGCATCAGGGACTAGGAACGTTGGCAAAGAGCTGCTTCTCAAGTCGTTGGTGTAAATGTGGCCGTCTGCTGCTGCTAGCACGTTCCCACAGGTCATCGGACAAATATTGACATTGATACCGGCTTCACTATAGTCCCCAGGGGTTTCTTGGCAATACGGGTGTCCAATTGAAGTGGTATATGCACCTTAAGCCCTGGCGGATAATTCCAGCAGAATTTCGAGCAGAATATGGGTTATTTTAAAAAGGAGCGGAATGAGCAGAATTCGGTAGAAAAGTGCACATGAAGGAGCAGATACTCTGCAGAACCAGCTAGCTGCGAAGTACTGAGAGGGCTGCTGGCGCCTATTTACGGCTCCATTCGACAGGTTTCGACCCGCGTGATTTGTGCTCTTACATGAACGTCAAGTTTTGCGTTGGCGCAAGCTCAGAAAGAGTTTTCGTTTCACGTTGCTTGTGAAGCACGTCGTTTCGCTGAGGACAGGAGCGAAAACTTCAAAACGTGAAAAAAGTGATTTTGGTGAGCTTAGAATTTGAAAGTAGGTTGAAGTTTTGTTTCAGTAGGGGTTGAGAAGTGTTGTGAGGCCGCGCCGATGGTGGATCAACACCAACAAGCTGTTTTTGTTGCTGCCGTGGGACTAGGTGGCCGAGCTCTGGCCCAATCCGCTTCAAGACATCATGGCATGTCTTGAAGCGGATTGGGCCAGAGCTACTTGAACCACTTGAACTTGAAGCAGCGCCAGGGGACTCCTGATTTGAGGCAGAATATACTGGATTCACACTGGCAGACATGGCGATGGAATGAGCTACGCTGAAACTAAGACGTGCAATTCGCCAACTTGTAGTAACTAATTACTTCCTCCTGTATCAGAAAGCAGAAAGGCCAAGCCAAGTGACTTTCCTTTCCTTTCGATCTCCGGCATGTTCCATCGCGACGCATGCAGTCGGGATTTCCGCCAAAAGGCCAAAGTCACACAAATATTTTTTATAGCTAGTTTAGGCAAAATCGACAAAATCGATCCAATAATCCCAACCTGATAGCAAGGCTAAATTTGCAAAAAACTCGCGTTCACGTCGAGCGTGAGTTGACCTCAGCTCACGTCATGAACGGGAATTTCGACGCCAAAATTTGCCACACCGACGTGAAATTTCACATTGTGGTGCAGAACAACGTGAAGCGAAACCTCTCTATTGTGTTCACAAGCACGTGAGAATCCGGCAGATTACGAGCAGAATGGGGCAGAAGACCGGCAGAACACGAGCAGAATGTCGAGCAGAAAACGCTACTTTTCCGAGCATTTTTCCGCCAGGACCTAATGCACCCCACGTCTGCTTAGGCCCTTTGAGGATATGTAAATACCGGCAGACAAATTGGCAGACTTTGAAAATCTTTCCGGTACGTTTCCTGCATCTTTGGAATGATGATAAAGAAATGGAGCCGATTTCGAGGAAGTGCCTGACATAAGGTTTTATAATTATGGTTCTGCCCATTTCACTGTTTTTCGAAAAGAATCTGCTACTGCTTTTCGAGCAGGATCTGCTAATTTTACTGCTTTTCAGAATCTGCTACTGCTTTTCGAGCAGGATCTGCTAATTTTACTGCTTTTCGAGCAGAATCTGTTAATTTTACTGCTTTTCGAGCAGAATCTGCTAATTTTACTGCTTTTCGAGCAGAATCTGCTAATTTTACTGCTTTTCGAGCAGAATTTGCTAATTTACTGCTGTTCGAGCAGAATCTGCAAAATTTACGAGCAGTATCCTCCAAGGTTTAGTCTGCCCCGTGGTATTGGCTGAACGGTTGGTGTGTATTGGACGAATTCAACACTTTTCAGCATCCTGACAAGAGTCAAAGTCTAATCAGAAATCAGGTGGATGCGAGATATTGTGACTAAGGCCTCTTTTACGGGCAAACAGAATACAATTGACAGTGGCATGGCGAATGATTAGAACACAACACCAAAAAATGAAAACAATTGTATGTGTGAAAAAACGCAAAAACGAGAAACAAAAAAACAAAAAAACAAAAAAACACCAAAAACAAACAAAAAACAAACAAAAAACAAAACCAGGAAAATACAAGGGCACTGTCCTGCCCACCATCGTCTCCAAAACCTCACAGCCGGCCCTCCGAGATTGCCAACTCTCGCAATGCATTCACAGGACGGTGATATGACGATCGAGCACCGCGGATGCACATGATCGCCGACCGCAACAATGCAAACGCCAGTCGACACCGGACATATGTCATTGTCTGGGCATACAACTTCGTGTCCCCACTCGAAATGAGGCCACACAGGCGCTTAACAAATCTGGAGCACTCTGGCGCACAACAACCGGCCGTGGTGAAAACTAGTGGAGTAAATGTCCCACGGTCTACATTGATGATGCGCTCAGCATACTGCAGCTTCTTCTTCCTCTCATGCTCCGCCAACAGTTTGTCGAGAGGTTTGGTGGCATAGGACGGAGCATCGGGATGAAAAACCCGGACATCCAGGAAAGCATTCTGTGCCCTGGTCCACAGCCCTCGAGCTCGGATATCAGCGCGAGCATCGTTGGCGGTGATAGTTGAGGCTGCCAGAAACACCTCTCCCGAAACCGGAGCAAGCTGAGGCTCGACAGCGACATCCGAGCAAACTTCAGTAAGTAAGTCGGCAAGAATATCGCGAACTTCATTGCGAGATATTGTACATACATTGAATCATTCAACAATAAAGGTTAAAACGATATTAAAATATTCAACAAATCCATGTATACCATAAAAGAAAGGACAAAATGTTACGAAATAGTGGTTGTGACTTCGGCGATGATAATATGTTTGAAAAGGGTTTGCTCTCCACACCGGAGCTCGAGCTATTCCACCCACTTGGCTTGACACTTGGCTGACTCACGACTGCCATCCAGAGCGCACGAAAAGTCCATCGAACCTTCGACTAGGCAAACCTGCAAAGAAAGCACCGCTCCCTGTTCTTCGAACACAATCTTCCTGAGCCTACTCAAGCTCAAGTGATATGGGGTGAATTCCCCGAAACACTGTGTATTGAGTCTGTGCACCCCAAAAGACCTGGTGGGAGCACTACGCATTGCACCAACTACTACAACATCCATCTACGGCGCCATTCATTCCCTTCACATCACCATCCATACTCGCAACGGAAGCGTCATACGTGAACCGCCGGAAAAGGGAGGCCATCCACATATCCAGACGCCATACGAACGTGAAAAATTGTGGTGGTTGGGTACTGCTTGACAATTTACAATGTGACATTTGGATGATGATCACTTTTATTAATATTATTCTTTTATTCCACGATGGCGTGACGCCAATAAGGATGATTGATAAAACTAGATATGGCATGTTCTCTGTTTCTTTCCTTGGCGCTGATCGGTGGAATTCTCTGCCTATGTTGTGTCGCCAAGCTGATCAACCATCCGCTTTCATTTCGCTCTGCAAAGACCACTTCGGGTTCCCTGTAAAAAGACGGCAACGTCTGTAGGGCTTTCCCAACAAAATAATTAAAAAAAATACTATAAGTGCGATAGAAGTGATACTAGCCACTTTTACTGTTGCGACTGTCCGGTCCTGTTGTCAGTGACAATGGCGTCGCGTCAGGGCAGTTTGGTGACAGAATCTCATCTTTCCGTCTTAGTCACATGACGAGATGAAAGAATTTGTAGGGGTCCGTGCCGCTTGAAGCCCGAAATAGATTTTGAATTTTCACTCTCCCCGTACGAGTAGTGCGCTCGCCATTTTAGTCCTGAACGATTTTTTCTTTCTTCGTCAGGCCCCGAAAATGTGTCTGTTCTGACCTACATGTACATGTACCTCCGTTTTGCCAGATGTGCGGCTACCACGGATGAGTACACTACGGTGGTGTGCGTGCTGTGAATAGCAAGGTAATTGTAGCGTGAGAAAAGCCTTGGATAGTACCCGGAAGGAAGTTTAAATCCGTCCAAAACAACACTCTGCCAGACGCCTATTGCCGAGAAAATGTTAACACCTGTACTGTAGGCGTAGCACTGCATTGAGATCTATTTTAACGCCATCGTCATCGCATTCCAGTCTTGGAGTGTGCCAGTGGCGTTTGTGAAAATCGCCAGCCGTTGACATGAGTTACGACAGTTTGTACAGTGATAATTATAAGTATGCACTTCGTACTACATGTATTGCTTGGGCAGTAGAGCGAGATATCTCGTCATCAGCCGCTCAGGCACACTCTACAGAGCGAAAAAACTCGTCATTAGACAGATACACCGAGCAACGGCAAATGCAAGCACGAATTGTCGTGGTGGTGGTGATCATGATGAGGTCATCCGTGCTCGACAGGATCATAAGAGGTTGGAAAGTGCGAGTAGTCACTGTTGTTGCTATTGCATTTCAACTTAACATTACATCACAATTCACTTAGGAATCGCGTGTCAAGGTACAATGTGTAAAGAAGGAATAGCATTGGCCAGCTTCTTGTTTCCCGAGTTGAGACCATACCTGTCGGATTTTGGCTCTCCGATCCCGACTTGCTGCCTAAGGTTCCGCTGGTGACTATGCACCCTTTGGAGTGCAATTTGTGCTAGTTAATATGCCCAACAATCATTGTTTCCTTTCCCTTACGATGGCCGAGTGCCGAGATAGCGTAAGGTGGCTGAACCGGTTCAGAATTGCAGTGCTGTGATATTGGATGCGTTCCCCCAAGTACAGTGTATATGCCTACAGATACTCGACTCGTGCGCTATGATTCTCCTCAGTATTTCTCACCTTGCTCCCCCTTATGTTCAGGCTGCCCGTTTTGGAGTCATCAGTTGCCATGGTGATCGTAGTAATGCATGTACGTGAAACTCAGAGTTGCGACACAACAGCTTCCAATCTCTCTCTCTCTCTCTCTCTCTCTCTCTCTCTCTCTCTCTCTCTCTCTCTCTCTATCTATCTATCTCTCTCTCTCTCTCTCTCTCTCTCTCTCTCTCTCTCTCTCTTGTGTACAAGGCTCTGCCCTACATGGGTACATGGGTATTGAGCACTCTTCGGACAGCGAAGCACGCTACTGGTACTTGATTATATTTTGCCTACAGATAGCCTACAGATATAAAGAGGGCACTCGCCTGATGATTGCATTGCGTGTGCATTGTGTAAGAAGTTCGCAGTTGCGACCACACTCTGTAAACTTCATTTGTGCGTATTTCTACAGATAAAGAGCCTCGAGACTTCTACAGACAATCAATTTCGCAGTGCTTGTTCAAGACACGGATGTCATGCTGTCCCTATGCTCAGAGTTTCCAGTAGCACGTGCTCTTGGCAAACTGTTATTGCTAGCATAGTCTGAAATATGGCCATGGATGGAGAAATAGACTGCATGGCGGGCTCAAGGCAAATCCTACATATGAGAATAAAAGAAGAGGATGAAGAAAAGATCAATAGCAGGCAGTGGCGGTTCTCATAAGCTGCTATAGGTACCCGATATGCCAATAATGAACTGATCCCGCAAGCTGTCCAGCCAGCACTTGTATGACATACATGCACAGTAAATGCAGCGTATTGGCAATGAATATGACTGAAACTGTGTATTGAACTCGACTCATATCAAGAGCCCTGCCCAAAAATGGCTCGGAATAATGTCACAAGTGTAATTATTAGTTGCAAAGGGGTGGTCGCGGGGGGGATAAGATTACAATCCCTTTATCTCATTCAAGAACAAGAGCGCTCATCCGGATCTGTATTAGATACCCAGTGCCGTAATGAGAACAGCAGCTCTCAACACGCCATTGCTGATCAGCCTGTTCAGGTGTTCGTTCTCCGGGAAACCGGCGAGAGCCAGCTGCGTCGAGATGGCGGACGTGTCCATCGGATCGGCGTAAGCTACCTTTCCTGCCAGTCGCGAGACTGTTCTTCGCTTGCTCTTCCACTCCGCACTGTCCTTGAGCTAGTAAAGCAAACCAGGTGAGGAGTAAAGCGTACACAGACAATGATGAGATACACAATTTGAACTCGAATGGAGAGCCAAGGAGAAAAGAAAAGGACTAAGGAACGACAAAGTTATCTGTTACCGCATGAGCTGATTGTTTAGTAACTGGTGGTGTTAGTGGACATTATAGCGTAACTTGTAGTTCCTTGGTCATTATTATTTTTTCTTTTCTACACAATTTGAGATCTTCTCAAAATAGTCCAATATCGGGTTAAAATGGCTATGGTGGGATTGGATGAGGAGATGAAGGATGAAAACAGCAGATGCAGATGCCTATCCAGATGGGATCATTTTGAGATGAATGTTCAAGCCTTTTGAAATTTAACATGTTTATATGATTGGTCGTCAAATGAGAAGCCCATTGCACAATGACGTAATTTGCACCGTAAACACCCTCATGCAACCACCTGGGCCTGGTCGTGTGTGTGGGTCTTGAACAGTGCATTGCTGTTCCCAGCGTACTCGCATGCATTGCTCGTACACAACACATGGCAATGTGCAATGGGCCTATGGTCGCTGAACGATGCATACAACCACTTCATAAGTTACAAACCCCACCCGTTTTAGTCCTGCACCTGTACATGTGTGTATGAAAACTATTTTTTTAAATTGTTCTTCTCTACATGTACATTAAAACCTGTGACTAACGGACCACACATTGGGGCCAGAGAAAGCGGTCTTTAGTTGCAGTTGGTCCTTAGTTAGAGGTTTGCACTGCACAACCATAATAATGTGAGACCGTCCGTGCATGGCGAAGTGATCTGTTGTACCAGGCTGGTGGCTAGTCACGGTGGTCTTTAGTTACAGGTTTTACTGTTCCCCATACTAGTACTTAGTTTTTTTCAGAGTTTTTTCATCATAATCACAATACGTTTTTCATCATTCTGTGACAAGAGCCAGCTGTTGGCTGGTGAGAAGGCATCATTTCCTGTTCGCCTGGTGAAGTAAAATAAAGAATAAACTTTTCTAATTGTCCGCAAACTCCAACACAGCCATTTACACTTTTAGGAAACTTCACTTCTCAACTTCAAGCTGTGAATTTGAATTTGAATCGCAGTGCAGAGACCTTTTTTGGAGTTTGGAGTTGAGAAGTGAAGTTTCCTAAAAGAATACATAATACCATACATTGGTACATTGGTTGCTAGGCACTGAACGCACTCTAAGGTATTCTGTACCTTGTCGATGTTCTCCTGACTGAGAGATTCGCTGACATCCAGCTGGATGGACTTGCGCGACAGCTCGCTCTGCAGCCTTTGATTCCCGCTCAGCAACTTCTGGTACTCAGAGAGATAGGCAATGTGCTTGCTGAGCGTGTTGCGGGCGTTCAGGATTCTCAGATTCGCCTTGTTGGTGATCTGTAGAAAGTGTGATCGTGTGCAACGAACATGCAACTAGGTTAAGAGAAATACAGTAAGTCATTACACTTATACCTCGTGTATCCGGTACTCTTTTATCCGGATCCCTCGCCATCCGGAAGAAAAATTGCTGGCCACCGATTTACAGCATATGTCATCCATATACCCAATATGCGTGTTCGATTATCCAGTTCCCTCGCATATCCGGATATTTTGTGGAAAACAGATGTGTGCGGTTAAGCGAGATCTGACTGTACTCGTAACAACCAGGTCTCACCACAGCCAATACCCTGTTTGTGAAAGGTGGTCTTGCCACATACAATGTACATGTAGGTTCAAGTGTGATTTGATGGCTGCGTGAAAGGCCTCTTAACGCAGGTCGTCTTTCAAAGCAGGTGTTCTTTTTATAGCAGGTGTTCTTCTCTGTCAGTGTTTGTCTCTGTATAACCGTTAGGCGGCGAGAAGACGATAACTTTGATATAGCGACAAATAGTATCCGTGAAGCGAGCAATACGCCAAGTTGGTTTGTTTCCCCGCAAAGCTTCTGTTATGACACGACTTTTCCCTGATGATAGTCTCAAGAAAATCGATTAGGAACATTAATTTCAACATAATTATTATTATTCTCTTTGTCCTTTGCGTAACGTCCACTTCACTGATACTATTTGTCGTGCCATGTTAAAGTTTGGGTAATCATGCAGTTTAGGGTCCCAAATTTAGGGTCCCAAATTATTTCGCACTTTCCCAGTGTTCAGTGTACTGTCACACGCGTTTTCAGTGTACTTTCACTATGCTTCTTCTTTTCTCGTGTGAAAGTTTTGTTTCCTGTGGATTCTGCCTGGCTCACGCATCATCTCTGATGGCTGGGCCGCATACGCGCAGATCAGGAACGTCGACGGTGGCGTATACCAGCACGATGTCGTCGTCCACGACGACAACTTTGTTGATCCGGACGACCGAACGATTCACACCAACAACGTGGAAAACATGTGGATGCGGGCCAAGCGCCAGCTGAAGCGCAACTTCGGCACCTCGCGAGAGTTGTTCCCGACGTACCTCTGCGAGTTCGTGTGGAGACAGAGAGTTCGCGCGGAAGACAACACGTTCGGCTCCCTGCTCCGCAGTGTTCACCAGCAGTACCCAGTCTGATCTGTCCTCGGTTTTCATGAAAATAAAGTTCATGATGTGAAAGTACACTGAAAACGCGTGTGACAGTACACTGAACACTGGGAAAGTGCGAAATAATTTGGGACCCTAAACTGCATGATTACCAAAGTTTGTCTCCGTACTAGCAGCAGTAGGTATTATATTTAGCTAGACAGCTCCTTACAGGATACCACCCAGTGGATGAAACCCGTATTATTTTTTGAGGTACGGTGTGTAATTATACTTAGAAGTGGGACGCACTTCAGGCTCTTGAACATTTTGAAAGTTTTCACTAGTATAATACTTTCACGCCTTATCATCAGGTGAAATACAGGCAAAATCAAATGAACATGGACAATGGATTAAATACAGAAAGGGGGTAGAAACAGCGCAAGGAACAACAGCGTCAAATGTGTCACGTAGAAAGTAATGAGGGAAAGGTGCAAGTGTGAGTAAACCCATAAAAGCGTGAAGTACGGTGCAACAAACACACAAAACAAATCGACAAAAACTAACGAGTTGTTGACGACTTTCAAAATGTTCAAGAGCCCGGGTGCGTCCTACTTCTAAGCATAATTGCATTCTTGTCTCCAAGGAACTTGCCGTATGTTAGGCGGGGTATGTGGTGGTGGAGGTAGTAGTGATGGGTGATGCACGGTTGAGCCTGGTGAAATCCGACCTAGACTAAGAGTGGACATTTGGTGCCTCGAATGTTCACGACCCCTGGTGCCCTATAAAGTGGCATCGATGCGACTGCACATCACATGTGTGAGTACAATGATTATAATCATGACTTGTACAGAAAGCCATTTTTACCATTTGGTTCGGATTTCGCTGACCAAGTAGTTACCACGCCGCGCAGTTCTTCTGGTAACTGCATGTATAGCAAGGCGTTCCCTACCACAGGTTTCACCGCAGGGGATATGGCAGTGCATGTACAACGTACCTCCTCCGCCTGCACCATGATCGGTTTGCGAACCGTCTTGCAGCAGGCACTGGAGACCGCAGTGTCGCACAGCTTCTCAATGTCTTTCAGCTCAGAGTTCGGTCTGCCCGTTCCCAACCAACCTCGGAAAGCCTGCAGAAAGAAATACACGGCCTGTAGTTACCTCATGGCAGGAAGCAGTATATAACATCAGATAACTGATTGGTTTTGCATGCAGCCTACACATTTCGACATATATTTAAGTAATTTAACCATAATTTGGCCGTTACAAGAATTCACTGGGTTCTTGCAATTTTTTCTTTTGTCTGGGCATTGGCCTGATTAAGGTTAAAAAGAAATGATGTCGAAATGTCAAAGACTCTACTTCATTCCTATGAGACCCGTGCTTAAACAGGGGTGTACGACAGATCCGTTTGCTACATCTTAATGTCTGTAGTACTGTGATCCTCAAGCACATTGGCTGATTTTCTCATTCGGTTGGATTTCACTTTCTGCCGGTGTACGTGTAACGAAACTAGCCCCGCTGTTGTCCTGTGTCACACTACTCCTTCCAATGGTGTTAGTACTGCCAGTGGGAACAGCTTGTGGCATGGAGCAAGAGGTACTTTGAAATGCAGCACTTGCACATCTCCTCTGTCCCAATATTGATGGCTGCCAGGGCTACGAGCTAAGATGTTGCGACGTCGGCGGTATGTTATGAAGAAAGGGTCTGCTCGAAAGGTGTGTATTGAGCAGGGAGCTGTGCTTTCTTGCAGGTTTGCCCAGTGGAAGCTTCGACGGGCTTTTCGTGTGCTCCAGACGCAGTCATAAGTCAGTAAAGTGACAAGTCAGTCGGCAGGAAGCGCGAGCTCCGACGTTTGGAGCAGACCTTTGTCTGCACAAATGCGTTTATAATTTGTTTCACTCCGACATTGAGCCAATAGTAATAATGTGAAGAGTAAAGGACCTGACGTTTTGCGCCTTGTTGGCGCACTATATGACTTTATGTTATCTCGCTACATTGGTGAACTGTTGGTCACAACTAGTAACTTATAGGTCCTTTTCTCTTTACATTGTAACCTTTATTTTATTCATGATTACCATTTTCATGTTTTCTCTGGATTTGCTTTACCCACCAAATGGATCACCTGGGGTATACGTATCGCAACATCATGCAACGAACGAGCAATACCTTGAGACTGCTGAGCGCTTCGATGACGTCCTGCTCCGACGCAATGTCCATGATTGTGCGTACACGTATTCGATCGTTCAGCGCCATCTCCCGGTCCAGCAACTCCATGTGGTACGCGCACTTGCGCTGCATGAGCACGACACTGTACACAGAGCCCATGACGGAGGCGTAGCGGACGAAGTCAGCGGCCCAGTCCCGGCTTAGTAATACGTGTGTGTGTGTGGGAGTAGGCCTGTGGTTATAGGAGACTGCAACGATACCAAACTTGTCGGGAGTTGAAAGTCACACGTACACCGCTGTCACAAAATACGAATCGGAGCTCCGCCAGCCACCACTGCGTTCACGAACTGATTCTCAATGCTTGGAAGAAAACAGAACCCCCGGGATCTTTTCTCTGCTATCAACGCTAGATCTGCGTGTTCGACATCTTTCAGAAACAGCTACCAAGCAGTGAACTAGATCAACAGTGAGGATGGCGGAGGCTGTAAGGGAGAGAATTTTTCACGCATTGCCACTGATTGTCGAAAGGAACAGCTTCAGACTTCAGCTCACGTCACTTTCAGCCTCGAAGTTCCGTTCAAAAGCAGTCACATTGTAAGCTTCACTCGAACTACATCTACTGTTTATCAAAATACCTGGCGTCCCAGCAGGATCGTGATGAGAGACTAGACTGTCCATTTTCTACTCATTTTCATAACCGCTAGGTTTTCAGTCAACTGCGTTGTCTGTTCGCGTGCATACCAGTACGCGTGTAGCGGAAATATCAGCTCCGCCGTCTGCCGGCTGTGTGGTCACTGTGCAAAAAGGCAAAGAGACCTACGCATGTTCCAAAGGGCTGTTAGAGCGGAGTGCGGCATTGCGTAAGTATGGTCTGCTAGCTGTGGCAATATTCTGCGGATTTCCATGGGCGCAAGCGCAAATTCATGCGCGGACTTCGGATGCGTAGCCGTTGACCGGGGGTTGGGGTTGCCCCATGCTACAAACGCGGAATCTAAGACCTGAACATATTCGATTCTCAATGGGCGAAAACATAATGACCCTCCAGCAACGACACCCGTGTTCCTGCAGTCCTGGTCAAACTAGAACATTACGAGCATCGAGACCACTAAAGGCTTACCCACTCCGCATAGGTTAAAAAAATATTCTTACAGCATTGCCACCTTGAAGGCATCGCAATCAACGAAATCGTGATGTGCACTCGGCCAAGCTCCTCCACAATCTGGTGGAGTGATGGAGATTGCTCACGCTTCACATTATGTCCGTTTCTGTGGCTAATAAAATTATCTGCATGCACAATATTGTTGATCCTTGTGGGTGGTGGAGTTCCAACCGATGCGGAGCCTCAAGCGAACCGTGAATTATTTTGCCCCTTCAGTTCATGTCACAATTACGCAGAGTGTACAATCTGACTGGTAAACAGTGGATCTCTCGGCAAGATGTCTTCGTTTGATGTTTGGGATTTCATTGATATGCTACTCATGGATATTATTCGATTTCATATCCGCTGAGGCAAGGAGTGCCCCCCCCCCCCCCCACCACCACCACCACCACCACCACCACCATCAGTCTCATCCATTATCTGATTGACTGTTTCCCATTTGCCTTGACAGTTAATATAGCAAGGTCGTCGTAAACTACGGGTATTGTACGACTCCCATGTTCAAGCTGTTGTCGGGAAGCAGCCTCTTGACTAAACAAGTACATTTTGCACGTGATAGGTATTACATTACCTCTTGGTATCATGCTTCTCGGCATTCGTCTTGTTGAGCACTCTCGGTAGGCTGCTCTAGTGCTGTTGCATTACGCATCGCCCTCTGCTTTTCCTGGTTTGATAGTCCTTAAAAACAATGCCGAAATAGCTTGCTGTCTACAGCATTGGGCAAGTACATGACTTGTACTGATGAACGTAGTTACATCAAATGTACAGGCAGAGCGCTTAGCATGTACGTCATGTATGTGAAATCCTGTCTCTTGTTTGTTTTCTTTCGTGAGTCCCATATGGTCTAGTGGTTAGGATTCGGCGCTCTCACCGCCGCGGCCCGGGTTCGATTCCCGGTGTGGGAACATTCTTTTTTTTCTATTGTTGACGGTCCTGCGATGAGTACCAGCTCGTACTGTATGTGTGTGTGTGTGCGTATTATTAATTTTGTCTTGGCCTGGTTGTCGATCAGGATATTCTTCTCTTGTATTCACCAAAGTGAGCGACTGAAAAGGGAAAGGGTCGGAAGATTATGAACACTATACAGAAGAACAAGAAGGAAACTTTTAAGCTGAGTTTTTCTTCTTGCTCTTCTGTTGTGTAGGGTTTATTAGCCATTTGCTTGCAGGAATGTTGGCTTTCAAAAACAAGCATGAAATCGCTCTAATACTACGTTTAATTTGTATGGGGAAATCCCTAAATGAAATGTTGAAAAGAGATACATGTAGGTGCATCATACTTTGAAGGAGTTCAGCACATATCAATCTGCATGATCAGTAATCACTGATCAGCCAAGACGCTAACTCAACGACGATCAGCATAATATTAATACAATCATGCTACCATTGAATGGACAACGCTAGTCCTGAACTCTGACTGAGCATTCTCCTGATTGTCGCCGACATTTATGCCGCCCGTGAGAAAGGCAACATATGACCTCCGGCGCTGATAAAATGGTTGGATGGTTGGTACTGATGAGAAACCCTGACTGCTTTCGCTCCAGATCGCGTTGTTGAAGGCGCCAGACAAATATGCATGTGGCACTAAAAATGAAGATCACGAACAGACCCGAGCATCTGGCTAAAAGCGGTGCCTTCAGATCGGGCTGATCAAAGCATATTTCTGCACAGTCTTCTTTCGACTGACACTACAGGTTACAATGTCTCGCCTGTCAAGCGCGCTGTGTTCGTGTCATCGATTGGCAGCGACACGGTGCGAAGTCGTGGAGATTGCGTTCGATTTGTGATCGCTGTGGAATTCGCTGTCCAGTTGTCGCCACTACGAAATGCAAGATCAATCTTACACCGCCATTCTCAGTGCCAGGCGGTGAAGGGCAGGACAACAAACGTTCATCGAGCAAGAGAACTAGTGATTGGCTTTGTCCCTCGTGACTTGCATTCCTAACGCTGGAGACTCTTAGAATGCGAGATCGCTTTGCTGGAGATTTCCACTGCTGAATTTGGCCACGAAATCGGAATGAATGACTCTTTAGCATTCGGGAAAGCACAGAGCAGTTTACTCAAAACACGTCAATACAATTTTTCGGATGTTAATAATATCACATTTAGGTGATATCCAGCGTACGCGGTACTGAGAGTTCCTTTTAGTTGTACACGTACACTGTTCTTGGATTCCCTGCAGAACATGCACTGAGTATACGCAGGGAAAAGCAAGTTTCCAAGACGATGAACTGCGAAACACACCTGCGTGTATCACTGCATCTACTTCAAATTGTCGTTCCCAGTGACACGTTGAACACTTGTTACAATGGCATTAGGTAGGGAAACACCGTGATTATCAGGCGCCCACTTCTGCTGGTACAATCGCTTTCGTTCCTCGCACTTGTGAGCAAATCTGGCAATTGACAAACTGGCTGTTTCCACTCTAGAAAATCATATTATTCCCGTGAAACGAGCGATTGAAATTGGCAGTTCAGGTAAGGGCTGGGCCCTGTCACGTGTCAACCGCTTGTCAGTGCTTGATAGTTTTTTTTGGATTGTCAAGGCTAATTTGTCGTTAGTACACTGGACAGTTCAGGATCAGCCATGCAGCTGCTCTCCGCCTCGCTTGTGAATGTGAAGTTTCACGACACCTGTACGTACTGCACACAGATTTAACGCTCCTCGATTACATTAAAAACCCTACGCACCATCGTCAAATCGAGTCCTCAGTTATGTGACAAATTTGAGCATCGCTATGTGACAATATCTGTTCTCCCTAGTGACACCCTTTGGAATGTCGCAGAAACCGTAGAGTGCATGCAAACGCACTAACGTTAGTTCTGCATCCATTCGTATACTTAGTACAATTTCCTTGCACATTCTTCGCTAGGAAACTTTACCAAGACGATCAGATTCTCTTTCCTTGCTCACACGTGTATGCCAATTGTGTGAGTTTTGCTTACTGTGTTTCATTTGCATGTACATGTACTTACAAGACAAATCAAAGACCTCCGATCACCGAGGATGAAATTCATTCACGGGGGATAAGGTGTTATGAAGCTGTGCGCGGTAGGTTTTCCAAGCGGAAAAGATGTCATTCGTTACAAAAGATATACACGCTTTGGCCCGGTCCTGCAGGTCGAGCGACCATGCAGTTCATACTCATAGGCGCACTCCTGTGGAACCAGCTCCTGCCTGATCTCCGTTCCGAGCCCAGCCCATTTGCATGCACGTAGTAAACTGTCGCGTGATGTTCAGGCCATCTGGGAAGGAGAGAAAATTAATATCAACAATACGTGCACTTGGCAGTATTGTTCTGGCAAGCTCTACGACCTGTGTATGCTGCGTCAGTGAACATAGCTTGGCGTTCATCCAGGTGGAGCGGTGCGCACACAAGGAACCAGTGAGTAGCCTCTCCAGGCTAGCTACATGACCGTGTCGAGTTAAGCAATAGCCTGCCTTGTACCACCTCTCCAGGGGCAGAGCAAACTTGGGAGAGCAGCCAAAAATGCGTCAGTCGTCTGCCTAGCACATGCATCACCTGTGCATACCAGCTCAGAGGCGTAAAGGGAGTTTCTAAGGGTGTCTACAAACATTATCCAACCACCTGTTCGGACGATGTGCTGCCCGTTCCAACTGAAGCGCTTAAAGGAATTTACATGTACATGCACAATGTATAATTATGTGCTGGTCCTCAAACGTCAAATTCAGATTTAGCCATCATTTACATTGGCAGTGAAGAATGACATGCTGAACTCCCTCCTCTTGTCACGATCAGGATTCGTGGTACCATACACGTTACCACTGGTGACCTGGCGCTGTATGGAATGCCGATGCACGGCAGGGGTCTTAGCGTCGTGCTGTGATCAAGCGCAGACGTAGAAGCCAAGGTGAAAACTGATACGATTATCAGTTGGATTCCAGCCCAGTCTCAAGTCCTTCCATCATTCTTGGCCATGGGTCAAGTTCCAGGAGTCACAAATCACACCAGACCGACAGCCATCTTGTCCTTTGCATCATTTCATACTTAGAATTTCAGCGAAAATGCCGTCGGCAACTTAAAGGGGGTAAACGGATCGCTTACATTACCATGACTGTACATTCGTCATTTGGCGAGGGGACGTCAACATTCTCCCCCCGTTGTCAAAGATTCTATGGACCCTGAGGCACTGAAAACGATTTAAAGTCTTGCCAACAAGAAACCTAACCTTGGTACAAATCGTGCAAGAATGCTGAGCAATTCAATCCGGTCAAGGCGTGATGTGCGCATTGCAACGCCCGTGCCAGCTCGAAACACGACAAGAATTTGTTCGGCCGCTTGCTCAAAGCTTTGGCGCTCCAACCAGCACTCCGTCGAACAGGCAGAGCGAAACCTGTTCACTCTGGCTGGTCTAACCTATAATGTATTGATGACGTACTGTATTAGCAGCTGGAGTTATGTGCGTCCCAAGCTTCGTCCAAACTGAAGCAGGTCATTGTATATCCCGCTCAGTGCACTGCTACTTTCATGTACAAATCCTCGGCGAGTGGCGCGGCAAGCTAACATTTTCTGCTAGGCCATTGGTCATTCTTTGTCCCTGCTTTTCTTGGTCGCGTGAAGCAGTTGCAGTGCGTGCAACCACAGAACTGCATTCCGGAGCAACAACACTTGGTCACAGGTCCACATGCACAAACGCAGTGCAGTGTCGCGTTGACCATTTCTGGAGTGCGGTTCAAAGAGCTGCTACTCGGGTCTAGCTGCTCGCAGAAAAGACCAGTTAGTTTTAATGAACACGTTGCACTAACTCCATGTAAACCAAGGACAGTCACATACAAATCAGGGGAGTGCCTATTCTCGGGGTGTCGTCTAATCGAATAAAACCTGCCAAGCCTCATCAACAGTATCGTGTCTGCTGACAGATTATCATTAGCGCCATCACACCTATTCAATGCTGCTGCATACCCACTAACCCGAATCAGGATCCACTCATACACACACACACACACACACACACACACACACACACACACACACATTCTAGACCCCGATACATGGCCACGCCGGTATTTAACCCAGCACACAAATCTACCGTATCTACTCCAAAAACACTGGCCCCACTTTCCGAATCCATGCTGCGACTATAAAACCCTTACACTGCGTGTGCACTGTGCTCAAAGTTCACTGTAGACGTAATCTCAGGTGACCTGTTGATTTTGCACCTAACCCGCTGCTCAAGACCTGGCACAGTGGTCCAATTGCCGCGGGGATATGTTCTGAGTTTTTCAATACCCCAGTGCGAGGACTCGTAGGAGAGGCATGGGTAAAAATGAAGCGGCTCTTGTTTTTCTGTAGAAATTTTCAGCACAAGTACATCATTTCCCAGTTTTGTAGTTGATAGCCTGTAGCCGGTTGCTAGCTCTTTTCCTATTCTCTGCCAACTAATAGTGTAATAGTGGGGAATTGTGCTAGGCGAACAGTGAACTGACCATGTGTGTTCGCTGTGGTCCGTGGTTATGGTGGTGTAGTACATTCCTACTGCTGATGACGTCGATGCCGGCCGGCGGAAGCATGGAGGGAGCGGCCGTGACTGCATGTGGTCCGTACGACTCAACCAGATGGTGGTAAGTCACTCAGTTAACCCGTTGTGTACTAAGGGGGAATAATATTGTTATTATGATCCCTTCAGAACCACGCACTTTAACCTGGTGAAATCCGCCGGGTTACCTTTCATGAATTCAAATGGACCCGAAATTTCCCCAGGATTTTGGTAAACCTAGATGCGAGCACACGAACTTGTTTATACCAACTATTATGTATCCACTGCTTGATGCTACAGTGTGTTGTATGGCCGAGAGTACGCTACGTGTGACACTAAGCTGCAGCTACCTCGAAGTATGTACATGTACATGTACCAATGTTGTTAACTGCATTATGTACAGAGAAAGATCAGCGAGGAGAATGATTATCTGAAACGAATTCGGGTTGACACCCCCAATCCCATTGCTATGGGAATGGGGGTGTCCACCCGAATTCCTTTCAGAGATGAAGCAGCAGGAAGCATCAGCCCTTCTTGCGAATGATTATGTTGTGACATCTGATGGAAATCTCCATTCAGAGGTCTTGCGTTTACAGTGAACATCGAGCTATTCCATTATAGACTCTTATGGGAAGTGACAGATGTTTTGGCCAAAACACTTCGGTGCATTATGCAATGCTCTTCGTGTAATTATGTTCAACCTCTAAGGCTCTAGGACATACAATGCCTAATGTGAAAACTACAGTAAAACCTGTCTAAGACGACCGCTCAAGGGACCTTCAAAATGCGCTCGCTCTGTACAGGCCGTCTCCTTATCCAGGGTCATTTGACTGAAATTGAGAACCCTTGGCCATGGTTGTAGCGGTCCCCTTGGACAGTTGGTCGCCTTATTCGAGTGGTCGCCTTATCAGGTTTTACTGTGAAACCTGTCTAATACGACCGCTCAAGGGACCTTCAAAACGTGGTCTCTGTTACCAGGTGGTCCCCTTATGCAGCGTCATTTGACTGGAAATACATGTAGCATCCCTTGATCCTGGTTTCAGTGGTCTTCTAAGACAGGTGGTCGCCTTATCCGAATGGTCGCCTTGGCAGGTTTTACTGTACAGTAAATATCGGATATAACGTGCCCCTTTGATTTTCGAAAATTTATCACTATATCCGGTGCATCACTATAGCCGATTTGCATGTTTGACCGACACATGGCACATGACTGCACATGAAATGATGCGTACACGCTGGAAAAAGCATGCTGAAAGTGCATGCATGCTCCGCGGACTGTGTACCGGTGCATGACACAGAGCAGTGCATGGCAGTGCAGTACGAGTACAGACTGTCATGCACTAGAACTTCGATACATCATGTGGCATGGCTGCTTCTTCAGCGTGTTCTCCAAAAAAAAGCCTGAGCTGGATCCGTACTCACGTAGATCTACTCGGTGTCCAAAGAGTTGCGTAGAGCCAGAAATAGACATGAGTGGCTGTACGTGAGTACGAGTTGGCAACATCATCGTGAGAGGCAACACAGCCAGAAACGGACAAGAGCATGCAGAAAGATACAGAAAAGGACAAGACCATACAAAGGGAGCGAGGGGTAGCGCAGCCAGAAAAGGACATGTGCATACAGAAACGGACAAGAGCATACAAAGGGAGCACATTGCGAGGGGTAGCACAGCCAGAAACGGACATGTGTGATCATCACTCTTGATCATTATATGCGATATTTTCCTGTACATTTGATATGGTTTGCTTCCTGAAGTCCATCACAATAAGCGATATATTGGTATAGCCGATAATAGTGTATTATAGTGATATTTTAGCTGTATTTTTTCTGATTTGATTTTGATTTTGACGTGTTCTATCACTATAACCGGTATATCATTATATCCGGTCACTTTATAAACGATACTTACTGTACATGTACGGTTTATTCTGCATGTACCGTACATGTGCATAGAGAGTACGTCTACTGTGAAAGGGCCACACAACGCGCACATGCATCGTTGTTTACCCACACCACACGAGGAGGTTTGCTCAACAGCATGTCTGATTTAGTCTAAGAGTGCAAGTGTATATCCACTTCTGTGTTACGAATGTTAATTAGCAGACAGGTAACCATTGTTCCCTTCTACGGATTTCGACACAAACCGGCCCACACACGCGCGCACACGCATACACACACACACACACACACACACACAAACACAGTCGTCACTTGCGGCGAGTAATTGCCCTGGGCGCAATTAATCAGTCCAGTGAGTGTATTTCTCCTTCGCTTTCTCTCTTTCGCTGCGAAGAACTTGACACATGCAAATGAAGACCTACCAGGCCAAATTGCGATCCTGGATGGGCACCGGGTTTGCGTGATAACGCCTACTCAGTACTACATATTCTGGAAATTGCCGGTGAAAGGGGATCTCAGAGCGGGGCGCAATGGTCTCTGACAGCCATGCATGTACCCTACCCGGTATTCCTGTTAAAAAATCATCAGTCTGTACATCAGTGGATTAGTAATGCCCTGATATGTATGTCAGCATTAATATCCCCTGTAAAGCACCAGCATGATAATCGTCTATCACCGTGCACCTTCAAGCAAAGATCATATTGGAGTTTCAGCACAATGATGGCGAAAGAAAGAACTTCGTGGGCAGGAGGGTTCCAGGGATAAGGTGGCGAACCCGATCTACATGTAGAATGTTGTCTACCGATGTCAATTTTTTTTGGCACTGAAAGTGTGGAACTTGAAAACATTACGATGGCTGTAGAGCTCATCAGCGTTCAAAAGCTGGCAATGTGCAGGCTCCATGTGTACATGTACTTGATCGGGTACCCTTAGTATCAGATATACATTATTGTTTTGCTATCGGGGCGTCACTGGGTTTACGAAGATGAACTCGACCATGAATGAGTTCAGACTGTGTGGAAGCAGTGATTCTGCTGAATCCGAGCCATGATGATATTGATTTTTTATCATGCAATCGTCAGACAGGGTACATGATTGTACTGTGGCGCATGATGAAGAGACACAATGAGTCTTAGGGTTGAATGCTATACTGTCCAGCATTATCTGCGGCCTCATCTGTAATCGCCATGATCACTGGCAGACAAGCAAGTGTCGCTACGCTCAACGATTTAGCACCACTTCCGTTATCCATAATAGACAGGGTTCTATCCCGCGGCAAACGTACTTACTGAAGTAATGTATTAGTACCTTGCTACTTCGAAGTACGTACATGTACATGTACATGTACATCATGTAGCTGGTGACGAATGATACTACTGACGTCTGTACATGTACTGGGAAAAACTGTTGAATGCTATTGATTGCGAGGCATGTTTTGTTGATGGAATAGCAGCAATAAAAATTCAAAAAAGCAGCTTTAAGTATTCGTGTACATGACTGTGTACTTGATGGAGAAGCTTGCTGTATACACAGAACCTACAGCCAGTGAAGCCTGATCAAAGCAAGTACACTTCCGCAGGGTTTCAATGCTTTGCGCATCTCAGCTTTAAAAGGTTTATCTCAAGGATGGCAAGTGCCCCACATGAAAGTAGGCGCGTCTGTAATCCATGTTCGGCTAACCTTAGCGTAGATATGCATTCATAGGTTTGAGAGAAAGTTGCATTACAATGTAATGCAACCTTCCCTCAAACCAATGAATCATCATGATAATAATTCATAAGTGGAGGGAATGGAAAAGTCTGAAGAAAAATTGACTGTCACCACCAGGAACCGAACCAAGGACCTTCGCTTGAGGCCAGCGATGCTCTAACCACTGAGCTATGGTGTGCATGTACATGTAGCTGTCATCTCAGCAGAGACTGTATAATCACGAATGTGGGGTTTCCATTCACCAGCTACATGGCAAGTTACTAATCAAGTACTTCGAAGTACAGTAATCGTAGCCATGCGAAATGGGACAACTAGACATTCTCCTCTCCGCCACTAATCGAATATACATGTGCGTAGTTGGGTTCACAGTTCACATTGACAGACGATTCTGTGACGATGATGTACAATTATGTACACGTACACGTACAGGTACATACATATGCAGGACAAGTACATGGACAGTCATGTACAGGGTATGCTACTACTGCAGTAGCTTGCTATAATCAGATAAACCTTCTCAGATCATGATGTCTACTGTCACAGCTTCAATCAATATTACTACTGTGATTGTCCTGCTGTATACCTTCGTTCACTGTAGACTTCGTGGACTGGGAAACGAGAGTCTTAGAACGTCGTGTGATGGTGGCCTAATTTATTTATAATTTATTATTACTTGCATGTACGCGTTGAAGTCAACCATGCAAGCATGATCCACAACTTCGCTTATGCTGAACATGATAAACAGGACTATGACAGGGGAAAAAAACTGAGCTAGAACAATGATAATTATTATGATATACAAGTAATTATCATATACAAAGTAGCTCAATTGCGCACAAAAATCCTGTCGACATACCTCTGTATACCACATGCATGTGCACTGTAAAGTCATGTTTTATAACTTATTCAGTTATTGCGGACTCGTATACCATGTTTGTACATGTGTCAGTCTAGTGAAGCAAAATAATAATTGAGTCTAATCAGTAATGTTGCATGTGGTGGTGGCTGGTGCTTGAGGAGCAGTACCGCAACGCACAACAATGAAGCCAAAGCTACCTCTAGCTGAGACCACGTCCAGGCCTGTTGTACCTAATATTAGACGCTGCTCCCACTTCCGAGAGTGCCATTTTCAATCGCTCCAAACCGTGCCGTAACATGCATCCACAGTTGGCCTTGTTCTCGCCAACTGCGCTTTCACAAAACATCCTTTTAGCTGTCCCCCTTCAGAGAAAATGATTGTGTCATCTCTGTGCTTTCGATCGTATGATCTGGTACACGACAACATTGTGTAGTTCAAAACTTCAAGGCCAGTGCCACCCTGCTCGTGCTGGAACCGGTAAATCCATCTGCTATTCGGCGCTACAGACAGTAGGCAGGTGTAAAAATTCACCCCCGCGATGCAGTCTCGTGATCAGACAGCACCCCATAATGAGCCAGACCGCGTACCGGAAGAAGTCCAGAGATCAAGCCCTGGAGGGACAGCGTGAACTCCATGTTCTTCGCTAGGTCTGACAGGCACTTTCGTTCTACTGCAAGGTCTGATTATTCTCTGAATATGAAGTGTCAAATGGTGTTGTCCTTACGACCTATCGAGACGTCTGGTCGGTCTACAGAGTCCCCTGTTCTTGTCTGTGTTTCGAAGTATGTTATTAGGACTATGCCTGTTGTGACTCCCATTACACATGTAAATAAGGCATGCGAGAACAACAAGTCCTTGTAGATGAATGGTTTTAGCAGGAGCCGCTGCAAAACGGCTTGTCCTCACGCTAGCCTCCAGTGAGCAGTGTCTGGGGACCTGAGCAGGTTATTGTCCGCGTTCTGAGAGAGCGGCACAGACAGTGACAGGGACTGTGCAATATGCGGATGGGTTCTTGGCGTGTACATTGCAATGACAAATGTTCGTCCCCTAAGGCAGGCGCCCCAACACAAGCGGCTGAGCCACTTTCTCTACTTCAGCAGTCCGAAGAGCAGATTGCTCGTGGCACATGGGGATACAATAACTTATAAGCTGTCCGACACCTCCTTCAGAACTCGATTTTCACTCTTCCCTGGTCTTGATCCTTGAGGGCGGTGGCGTTCCTATTGTTCCGCATCGATAGTCCCGTAGGCTAAACGGATTCGGAACACTCATCCTACAAACCGAGTCTACAAAGGTCTGAGCAATAAGATGCTGTGCCGAAAAAAGAATTTTTACCCGCTCTTCACACTCATGGAGCAATCCAAGCGCTCTCTGTACGTTGAAACATTAGCAGGATGTTCCAATTCCATCACCAAACATTGCCTCAAGATTCAGAGAGCAAAATAACTGTGTGGGGGTACTTGCACGCGGGAAACGTTTGGTACATTGATGAAAGGGTGGCCCAGAATGAGTCAGAGGCGGACGCCTGTCTCCGGCCGGCGAGCGGAAAGAGACTGCAACACAGTGTAGATCATGGTAGATTGGGCAAAGCTCCGGAGGTTTGAACCCTAGACTAGTGCATGCGCTTACAGGGCCTACAGTGTAATGATTATGTGTCCGCATTTCGTGGCACCTGCCGGTCCAGATTGCTGACAGTCCCGCACAGGCTACAAAAACAACTAACTAAGGCTGGAGAGCTTTGAATTTGCAGAACGCTCATTTTACCAGGAGATCCCCTCGACAGGCCCAAAGCCTTTGGGAAATCCCCTTGAAATAAGAAAATACAAAATACAAAAAAATACAAATACATTCCATGGTTGGCAGAGGGCAAAGGGCATGCACTTCTGAAGGAGGTGCAAAGGTCAGAGGGTAAATGTCATGTACTTCTGAACAAGGAGTCTGCGCAACTCGAATCAATATTGTTTGAGCATTCATCAACCTTGCTATAAATAACCTGCAAGATTATGCAAAGGTCAGAGGGCAAAGGTCATGTGCTTCTAAATTTAGGGTTCACGGCTTGCCACTAAAAGCACCCGTCACGTGCGCCTCCATTTTGGATTATGGACGCGCGCTAGCGCTACAGGCCGCGACAGCGCCTATCGAAGTAAAAAAATATCGACTCGAAGTCTAGCCGGAGAGCGTACTTTTTGAATTTTTCCTTGGCTTCAGTGGCTTCACTGCGATCGGGCTTTGCATTTTTCTGACTGACCTGGACTTGATGATGGCGGCGGTGGCGGTCTTGGCGGAAGATCCAGTTCCATCTGAGACACTCTGTCGTCTTTTCTTATCTGCTGAGGTTCTGGCAAAGCGCATCGAACCTGACTAGATGTAGCTGCACGCATCCTTTGTTTGCCCTGCAAATCTCGATCTGTTGCTCTTCTTGCTGTTTGGCCGCTGATGCCATGGAAGAAAATATTCTTCCTGTAAAGAGGCCGAAACTGAGCTAGGGCACGTCAAGATATGTAGGGTATACAAAGAAAAAGAAATGTCATGGTCGTTTCAGCAGCTCACGACAGCCAACACGCTCCATCGTCGGGATTGGAAGTATCCAGCACGGCTGTTCCGAGCGCTGCTGCTCTTGTTATTCTTCTTCTTCAGAAATTCTCCACACCTTGTCGGCCAAAGTACGCGCGCGCGTGCACGGAAAATAGATGCGCTGAGCCGTTTCTTGTTCGATTTTGACAAATAATGGCTTGTTGTTTTGCTCTCGACCTTGGCTATCCTTCTACCGTTCAGTATTTTACGGAAACGCAACGGCTCCCCCTGTTTTTTTAGCCGAACTTTGGCCAAAGTTACTGGAAAACCCGGAACTCGTTTGAAAAAATACGAACGGTGGAAGTCTTGGAACGTCTTTCGTGCGTGTGGATTCAAAAATTCAGGCAGTTTGAGCCAACCGTAATGAATCCCGTAGAGTTGAAAGTGAGTGATATTGATGCGAAAATGCGATTTGAGCACTGACCGATTGTGTGGGACAGTATATGCACGCGCCTGTCACGTGCATGATGTAGCTGGCGACGCTAGCATGCCAATCCGTGAACCCTAAAATTGGGTGCCGGCGGAACTCGAATCAATTTTTTTGATCATTCACCAACCATCACATACATGAATCATGATTCTGTTTTCGTCTTATGCCCTTGTTCTACTCGGTGACGATACAGGTCCTTGGCTCGCTGGATCAACATCACGACAAGAGAGTTGACAAATGTCCGCCACTGCCAGGATCTACCGATGTCGGCCGGTCAAGCTTCGTTCTGCTCTGACGATGCCAGGCTCGGCTTCGAGCGGACGCGCGTTATGGCGCGGGCAAGTTTGGCAACGACACGAGAGTGCGCGCGACAGTTCGCCGATCGCAGATGGAACTGTCCCAGCTTCTTGTCAGCGGAACATGCAAACAAGCCGCTGTTTGGAGAGGCCGTCACCAGACTACGTAAGGTTTACTTTTCTTTTTTGTTTTGTATTTGAGGGTTTCCCAAAGAAATGGTCTAAATTGAAGGGAGTTCCATTTTTTGTATTTTTTTTATATTGTATTTTATTATTTTACTTGGGCATTCCCAACAGACCCTAAGGGGTGCCCAAATCACCTGGTCACCACGCCAGCAGGCGACAACTTTCACACCAAGGTTCAACTCGAGTTCAACTAGTGACAGGGCTGCACCCAAAAAAGGTCAAACAGGCTAGTAAGTTGTACCCTGCAGGCACGGTGACCAGGTGACTGGTATACGCAGGAGCACGTGACCGCTTCTTCAACCATATTCGATTGGGAATAAAGGAGGAACGCTGCATCGCAGCCTTTTCGGACCAAAACCAGTCGACTCAGCGTCCAAAAGACTACAACATATGGGCCAATCGCGGTCATCCGTGCTTTTATAAGAACGAAATGGCGCTTTTAGTGACATTTTGCATACAAATCCCCATCTAGTAGGGCGCAGTCACCCAGTTTCGGTAGAAGTGCGCGAGTTTGATTGGGATTCAAGTAGGAAGGGAGCGTCTCAGCTTTCTCGGACCAAGACCATTCGACTCAGCACCCCGAAGACTACAACTGGTGAAATTTTAATGTTTGCCTTAACTTCCCCTTTAAAGCCATCCTGCGTTCAAAGTGAATCATACAAATTTTCTGTCATTTTTTAAAACAACTTTGGAACTCTATTCCACCATTGTGGCCTTGTCATTGTCAGAAAAATTCACTGCACAACCATCTCCGGTACTTGACTATGCCGGTTGAAATATACATACAGCTGAGGTGAAGGGCTGTGCAGCTGTAAGTTCAAGTTTCGCGCATTTCAGCGATCATCAGACAGCAGCATTCAGGCTTAGCATTGACCAGTGGAAATATACCAGTTGAAATGATCTTTTATCAACTAATTACTTTCTCGTTAGTTTCACTCTCATGGGTGAGCATTTGGAAGAAATCTTTTTGAAATGGTTTAGCCAAGGACTGGAGAAGACCGGCTGGGTGAACAGTACTTCTAGCAAAGAAAAAAATTATTTGCGCTCTCATGTCATAAACATTGCGGCCGAGATTAGCTTCCAGAACACTTTCTAAGAGTCAACGGAGACACACTCAGTGACAAGATTCTTGTCACTGAGTATATCACCATTGACTCATCAATTTCAAGTGTATATCCTACTGTTTCTCCCTGACTCTCTTTCAGTTACAAGGTTGCATGGATTTCTGTGAAAAGAAAACTCTCTGTCGAACCAAACCTTGGTCACCGCTTGTATGTGGCGTGAGCTCGCATAAAATTGTATCCCTTGCCATTTGTTTACATTAGGCGTTGCATCTGCCGCTAGGGTTTACCGGGTGTTAGCGGCCGTTGTGAGTTCCCTTCGGGAACGGACACGATAATTTACTTTTTTTATTATTTACTTGCCATTTTATTATAATCATCAGTGTCAATGGACAGTGTAGCCTGTCTAAGGTGACCACTCAAGGGACCTCCAAAATGCGGTCGCTGTGTACAGGTGGTCTCCCTATCCAGAGTCATTTGACTGGAAATAGCATCCATTGGTCCTAGTTGTGGTGGTCCTTCAAGACAGGTGGCCACCTTATCAGAGTGGTCGCCTTGACAGGTTCTACTGTAATTGTTCCCTGTTCAAACAGTATTTCTCCAACAACATGTTTTCTGCTGTGTGTAGATACGCGTGAAGCAGCTTTCCTGCATGCTCTGATGGCAGCCAGCAGTACCCACGAGACAGCGCAGGCATGCAGCCAGGGCAAGCTGAGTAGCTGCGGGTGTTCAATGCCAGACCAAGCCGAGCTCTCCGCTCTCTACCCCAACACATCGTCGTCATCGTCCGGTCCCAGTATCCATGACGTCATCACCGCATCATCACAGAGGCCGAGCAGCGCAGTAACGAGCGCGATGGTAACCGAACGCAGCCTGGCAAAGCATAAACGAGTGCGACCCAGGTGTGGAGATAATATCGAGTACGGTGTGAGAGCATCAAGGGAGTTTCACAGGACAATCGAAGGTAAACTGACCTCACTTACATGTGTGTATTACAGTCGTGAGTGTGCATTTGTTACTGTTCATACCACGGCCTTATTCAAAGGATTATTGTGCGCCGATTATTTTTTTAACAGAGTGAAACAATAATGCAATTTCTCCGTTCATGTCCTGTTGCGTACGACATGTGTGATGTACAGTTGAGCAGTCGGATTCAAGCTCACCACGCTGCACTGCACGCTTTTCCAGGACATTGATGGACAGGCATAACGAGGAGGCAGGCAGACAGGTACATATACTACTTTCTCACAGCCATGTACCTTAGTGTGCACTGATAGTTGGTAGATGGCAGAGTTTGATACTTTCCTGAAAAGAGCTGCATAGGGATAGGGGAGAGGAGGTGAATGCACCAATTTGCATGGGATTTGGAGCTGAAAACAACAGAATTGCTGAGAAACTTTTCTTTTTTTTAGTGCTATTACAATTCTAAGACCATGATTGAGAAACAGAGAGTACCAGGTTCAAGTCCAAACTGGAAGCGGAAAGATTTTTTCCAGCCGTGCTGCGACCCACAGTTAATTGGGAAAGTGTGGCCTGCCGGCACGAGGGAAACATGGATGCAGTGAATGGGATTTTCGGTCTTTGACCACTTTGTGGTGGGTCTAGTCTACTCACCTCCCACCGCTTAGGAGCTGCATCTGCGCCTTGATCCTAGAGGGTGGTTCCTGCGGATGCGGAAATCTCGGCCTCTAGTCGAGTCTCGCGTGAACCGTGAATTTGTTTATTTATTTGTATTACAATCAGAGGACAAATCACTGAGCTTCACACATACATGTGTTGTTGTGGTGGCACAATGCATAAATCCGACCGTATGAGTGACATTTATAGCGCCCAACACCAATGTGGCACAGCGCAGTGCTCACAGGTCAGCTGCAGTCGGCACAGCGCCTGATGTACCCGACACGTGCGATCAGTATGATTAATTTTCATGATGCACAACCGCATGACAATCACCAGAGTCTAAAAAAATCACGTGAGACTCGGCTGGAGGCCAAATTTGTCCGCATCCGCAGGAACGCCACCACCCTCTACGATCAAGGCAGGCTATTTCACTGTCTATAAAGTATAATGGTACTCTTTCACTTACGAAGCATCCCATGGCTGGTCATAATGGTGATATTCTGTCACCTGTGGAAAATTCTGTTGCTGTTCAGATTGTGAAAAGGAACACCAAGCTGCGATGTCGCTGCCTCGGCATATCTAACTCCTGCTCCACACAGGTGTGTTGGAAACAGCTACCAGTGTTTACCAAGGTAAGTAGGAAATCGCAAGCATTCTTCAGGCTTACATGACTGTTGTACTCATGAGTACAACAGTCATGTAAGCCTGAAGAATGCTTGCGATAAGCTTTTTACATCCTCCTCCTCCTCCAGCTTGCCCTTCCACCTCCTCCAGGTTGGTAGAAGAGCTCGCACTGCATGTAAAAAGGTGTGACCTGTCACACATCCCACCACTCCTGAGTCCACTGGTCATCTATTACCAGGGGTGGATCCAGAGATCTCTACATGGGGGAGGGGTTCCAGTTTAGCCAAAACTGAATAGCTAATACATGTACTTGTACATGTACATGCATTATGGTTTCCAGTAGTACATTTGCGAAATTTAGCGGTTCAGCGAAACCCCGGATCCCCCCCCCCTCCTTGATTGCTGTCAAAAGTCAATTGAATCTTTGCTAGTTTGAGGAATAGTAGCCAGCCAGTACTATAATTATTAATAATTTTCTTAGGCGTTAAGTTCGCATAGAAAAAAACTACTTCAGTAGCCATATGCCACCAGACTAATAATAATACTGCCCTGATGATTTTCCATTGCAATTTGTGATGAGCCTAAAACTCAGAGTTTCCACAAACTAACCTTGTTGCACTGTTGTACATGTACTGTGTAATGCGGTCTCCCTCTGCGGTATTGAGCCCTGTCAACACACTGAGTGCGTTCGATTATGCCCGCCAACCGATTCATGAATCGATTCATGAATGGATTCGCACTATTCACATCACTCCATGTGAATAGGGTGAATGGATTCCGAATCGATTCCAGGGCTCATGACATGGAAATCGAACGACTTGAATGCATGCGAATGGATTCATGAATCGATTCAACTGCATAATCGAACGCAGCCACTAGGTGCCGAATCCTGTGCCAAATTCTGTCCAGCACAAGGAAGGGCATACCAGGGATGGAGGAAACGGTCCAGTTGGTCAGGCCATGGCCGGACCAACTTTTTGGCAGCAATGGGTGTTAACCCTTTGAGAGCCGACCCATACTTGAATGTGTAGAATTCTACACACTCGACTGTGAGACTTCAACTGGCCGTAACTCGGTCAAAACTAGCTCAAATTCAACGATCCAAATATCCACCTTGAAGAGAAAACTCTCAGCGTGCCGTAGAACCCATCCGCGACGCGCTGCGATCAACGGTTCTTGAGATAAATCTCCCAAAGAACATGAAAATATTCAGAATTTTGAAATTTTCAATCGGCTCTCAAAGGGTTAACTCCTGGGGGGGGTCATCCGTACCTACCATGTCATATTTTGTATTTTTGTATTTTATTATAATTTAAGGATTTCCCAAAGGTTTTGGGCCTGTCGAGGGGATCTCCTGCATACACAAAGTATGAACGGTATGGCCGGACCCATCAAAAACTGCTTCCGATGGTCCTGTATACAGGTGTGGATCCTTCCATGGCTATGCATCCATACAGAGAAGTTACCAGACAGCAGCTCCAATCATGAATCAACCATTGTGTTCAAAAGTCACATGACTCGGCCGACTCCTCTTCTTTCCTTGCCCCCCCCCCCCCCCCCACCCCTCCCTTGCCCAGGTTGGCAACTTGCTGATGTCTCGATACAGGAACGCATCGCTGATGAAACTGGACAGACACGGTACTCGGCTGGTAGTGCGCCATGCACTCTCCCGACAGCCCTCGTCCACGGATCTCGTCTACCTCGGCGAGTCACCCAGCTTCTGCTCCGACAACGCTGGACTCGACATAGTCGGCACCAGTGGTCGCGAGTGCAGGGTTTCTCAGGATCACACGCCCGACAGCTGCGACGTCCTGTGCTGTGATCGTGGGTATCGCACCGTGACCGACCACACCACCACCAGCTGCAACTGCCGCTTCGTGTTCTGCTGCCGCGTACGCTGCGACCAGTGCGAGACAGTTCGGAGAAGGCACTTTTGCAGGTAATCATGGCAATGGTATTTACCAGCAGCAACAACTATTATTATTGTGATCGTTATTTTGTAGCAGAGATCTGTGTCGAAAATGCCAACTTTGTCCTCAATTTTTTGCAGCGGAATTACCAGTCATGTGACAGAGGTGTGCAGATCACACTGCACCTCAGCAGTAACTGCCTTTGCTCCCAAAATATTGATTCCTTCAACCTAAGGCGTCCTTCCATCCAATAGGCTTTCAAAATCATTGTACCAAAGATTTTTTGAGAGGTAGCTCTAACAAATCCAACACAGTCATACATTGTTATTATTTTCCTTTCTTGAGCTTGAAAGTTGAGATATTTTGATCGTGTTATCGTGTTTTTCTGATCATAATTTATATCTATTTTCTGGAAACAAAAGTTTTGAAAATTACAAGCCAATAACACAGCCTTTGCTCCATTCCCCTCTCCGACGCGTTGCAAGAAAGTTCAGTTACCTGTGTTTATAACTATCACTACTTGCATGTGCTTAAACGATGGGAGGTGAGTAGATCAGACCCACCACAAAGTGGTCAAAGACCGAAAATCCCATTCATCTGCGCCTTGATCCAAGAGGGTGGTGGCGTTCCTGCGGATGCGGAAAACTGAGCCTTTGGCCGAGTCGCAAGCGAACCGTGAATATTATATAATTGCATGTGCTTGTTGGCATGAAAAAAGGATGCTTGAACGTTCCGTTACTGCAAATTCGGAACTTCAAGGTTTCTTATACCATGGTACGGTGCGGAGGGCCTGTTTTCAGCCAATCAGCGCTCGTCTAGCCATGGTTATATTGGCCAGTATAAATCCCGCGCGGGATTTATATAGAATATAAATCCCGGTGCACGGTACGTACGCTAGGGCACGGCTACCGTACATGTTCACTGCCTGAAAGGCAGTGAACTTGTACGGCGGCAGTACTCCAGCGCACGGACCATACATAAACAGACACAACGGACACCACATGCGCGTGTACACTCCACACAGAACGGCACACTGACGAGGAACAGTACACAATGGAAAAGAAGAATGGCCTGGAATTCGTCTACAGAGTATTCTATTATACTGAATCTGAGGATAAAGAACGTCGAATAACCACGAAGTATCCCGAATGGGTCAGCAATGTACATTGTACTTCGAAGAGTTGAAGATCATCAACGGACTGTCTCCTTCGTAAATAAGTTTATAATACCAGTGTATATGTACTTCAACCCGATTGGAAAAGGCTACAATAGATTGGATTGAAATGTGATACAAAACAGTGTATGCAAATGCATCTACTTGCAAGCAAAACTGATTATGAGATGCCGCATGTGAAAATCAGCACTGTACCATAATTATAGTAACACTTACTCCCAAAGAGTCCAAGCTGTAATCTAACTAGTAACGGTAGTTTGATTGAACGACAAACTCCAGCACCGCAGCAATTCAGTCGACTTCCGCACCGACTCAAGACAAGATCATGAAGATGCTACAATATGCACTGGAACGGAAAGGAAATCTTATGCCAAGCATCCACGGAGGAATCTCCTTCTGACCTTGCTCGACCATTCTTTCAATTGACAACTGATAACCATCAGAAGATGTTCATGTACTGCATGATGTAGGAGATCTCCAAATAAGTTCGTTGTTCTGGAAATGCGTAGGGGTACCTGGCATAAGTAGGATATGACCCTCGTAGTCGGGTTATACCGTACCCTCATATAAATCCCTCCTGCTATCGCAGTCGGGATTTATATTCAGCCGGTATAACCCTCTGACTCGGGTTATATCCTCTACGTAGGCACAACAAAATGCATAAAAAGAGCTCTATGGTGTGTTTTTCCTTGAAGTCTGAACCAGGGAGTCGTAAAATACCGGTATTTTACGACTCCCTGGTCTGAACATGCACACCAGAGAACAACAGTAGCATATCACGTCTTCCGTCTAAAGCCAGCTCACCTCTAAAAGGCGTGTGAGTTGTCTTGGGCCGGGGTGTCCTGGACCCATTTTTACAAGTGCGTGCCATACTGTCCTGGAGCTACGGGGCCTTTCTTGGAGCAACTCGGCCTGCTAGATCACCTCACAAACACTTAACATTAAATTTTGTTTTGCACATACATGTAAAGTAAAACCTGACAAGGTGACCACTCGAATAAGGCGATCACCTGCCCCAGAAGACCACTGCTACCAGGAACAAAGGATGCTATGTGCAGTCAAACGACCCTGCATAAGGAGACCACCTGGCAACAGAGACCACATTTGCAACCAGGACCATGAGATGATATTTCCGGTCGAATGACCCTGGATAAGGAGACCACCTGGGAACAGAGACCACAGTTTGAAGGTCCCTTGAGCGGTCGTCTTAGACAGGTTTAACTGTATGTGTTCTCTTCGTCGTAATGTCATGCGAGCCAGGCCAGCCAGGCCAGCCGAGCCAGGCCAGCCAGGCCAGCCGGAACCGGACTGGATCGGTTGGTCAGGTTATCACCGAAACAACTTTCCCGCCACCAATGCACGTTTACTACAATGGAGGGCATGTGTATCCGCCGGATCATACACAAAGTACATAACGTAGGGCCATGTTACGGGACCAATCAAAAACTGCCTCCGGTGGTCCTGTAAGCCTGCAATACTAGCAGAACTGTTCGCCTCCATGGAACCCGGAATTACTTTAATTTCCAGGACTATTAATGAGACTCTCCCTTCAGGGAACAGGGAAATATTTATGTCAAGATCGCCGTGATAACACCTGTTCTAATTAAAATAAATACTTCGCATCACAGGACAGCGGGATAACAAGATACGAAATCATGCCAGAATACGCAGCGGGCAGGTACGGTACAGCAAACGCCAACAGACCGCATTGTTCGTACTCTGCAAGTATGTCGACAAGGACTACAAGACAACATAAAGGACGTACGCTGGAAACTTACAAAAAAATGTTGTA